CAACGTGTAATAGACTAGGCAAATGTAACCTTGGGGAGGGCATATGCTTAATGGAAATCCCTTAAGGCCCCCCGCCACTGTAATCAAATTTCTCCCCACTTAATACAAAAACGCGCAAATTTTGTGTGATCGAGACAAAAAAATGGCGGCAATTACGAACCCAAATGCAAATATATAGTATTACAGTGTGCGTTCTTGGCTTACTCTTTCGATTTGATGTCAAATTCACTGGAGGTAACGGATCCAGCAGATCTGACGTTCTTCGAGGGTGTGCCTTCGTATCATCGCCGGTAGCAATCGTCCCATTTGGCCCCGCAGGCGGAATGTTTGAGGCTCTGGATCCATTCAAGTTGTCAGCCCAAGGTTTTGGTTTTAGTTTTAGGTTTACCTCATTCTCGTCTTCATCTTTGCACTGAACTTGCCTTTGAGCTTCTGCTGGGCTGTTTTCCGTCGTTTCCTCTTGCATTGCAGCACCCTCAAGTTTTGTATTTGGTGAAGCCGCTGTCGATTCCGCACGCATACAAGCAGCGATCAAGAGGGTTCCTCTCCTTATCTTCGAATAAAAATGAACAAGGACGACAACAATCTCAAACCAGGCCGAGTTACTACAAACAAATAAATTGAAGAAAAATCTTCAGAAAACCGGATGTCGTACTTACTTACTTACTCCCTCCGGTTCTCTAAAGCAAGTCGTTTTGAGGTTGTCTTAAGTGAAACATTTTAAACTTTGACTACAAATAACTTCTTTTGTGTTGAGTTTGAAAATATAAAAGTGATGTAAGTAGATTCATCTGAAAATGTAGTTTCATAAAAGTATATATTGACTATATTTTATAAATATTTTATAGCAAAAAGTTGCAGTCAAAATCGTTTCTTAAAAACCATGTCGATGTCTAAAACGATTTGCTTTAGAGAACCGGAGGGAGTACTATACACGTGCTAGCTACTATGCTAGTGGTTTCAGTTGAGAGCATACCAGGAGAAGGCAGGTGCAGTGCGCCACTGGCTGAAGAATGTGTTGACTCATACGATGAACAACTTAACACAGGCCCAGGCGCCCGGTCGACCTCTGGCTATATACATCGTCATTAACACGGAATCAACTTTGGCAAAAAAATTAAGCAAACGGCGGATCTGATCTGAACAGGGTCGACGACTCGACGGGTTGGTAAGTCGTCACAATATATATAATGATCGTCCCGTTCGCTTGGCTTATAAGCCGTATTTTTTCAGCCAATAAATAGTATTTTTCTCTCACAACAAATCAGTCAACAGTACTTTCAGTCATGGCTTATCAGCTAAACGAACAGGGCAAATATATAGAGCTTGTTAAAGCCTGTGCGTCCTGAATGGCAACTTTCAAATAGCTAGTTAGATGGGGGCTTAGAAATAAAAAAAAACATAGTAGTGGTGAGTTATGTAAGTTGTGAGAGAGTTGTTTCTAAAAAAATCGTGCTAGACTAGTTATTTGAGAATCGCTAGCTATTTGATCTATCTTTTGATAACCAATAAAATTCTTTCTAAACTAGCTATTTGAGAACCATCGATGTTACTAGTCCAGTAAACTAGCTATTTAAGAACCATTGATGTTACTGGTCCAGATATATATTATATATCCAAGAACGTTGAAGGCAGAGCAGGGATCTTATTCTAAACACAAAACCGCCGGCCACCAAAGCGTTATCTATATACTACCCAATGTTACCTTTTTTTATCCACCCTCTAATATTCGGTCAACGAAGAGTTTCTTTATCCCATTTTTTTATTACTTTTCAAACTGCACTTGCGTCGTCCGTGTCTCATATATAACTTGAACTCGTAACCATACACATCCGAATTAGGACAACTCATGTCTAGTGATGAACTTGAACTCGTAACCATACACATCCGAATTAGGACAACTCATGTCTAGTGATGAACTTGAACTCGTAACCATACACATCCGAATTAGGACAACTCATGTCTAGTGACGATGAATATGTAGTCTGATTTTATTATGTATTGGGTCACACCACACGTATCTCGTATGTGATCTGAACTTATGACCCGTGCTCGTACAAGTTAGAACAACTCGCATCTATCGATGATACAGAGACCGATTTCTATATGTATTGGGTTCCATTGCACAACAACAACAACAACAACAACAACAACAACAACAACAACAACAACAACAAAGTCTTTAAGTCCTAAACAAGTTGGGGTAGACTAGAGTTGAAACCCAACATGAGCCCCTAGTCACGATTCAGGCACATCAATAGCCGCTTTTCAAGCACTCCTATCCAAACATAGATCTCTAGGTATATTCTAACCCTTCAAGTCTCTTTTTATTGCCTCCCACATGTCAAATCGGTCTTCATCTACCTTTCCTCACATTGATATCTTGACTTAGGACTACACAATACACCGGTGCCTCTGAAGGTCTCCTTTGGATATAGCCAAACCACCTCAACCGATGTTGATAAGCTTTTCTTCCTCAACCGATGTGAATCGCACGCCGAGATATTTCCCTCACCACCGCCTTTTACCGTATGCGATGATAAAAGGCCAGTCGTGGACGCCATCGACGAGCACCTCACCAAGCACGCCATAGTTCCACCTCGGCTTCCGCGCTCGCCTTTGCTGCCGAAGCCACCCTCGTCGTCGAGCTCGCCTTTGCTCGCTAGAGCCGAGGCTGCCGTTGTCGCCCGTGCTCTCCCTCTGCTCCGCCCTCTCCTCTCCTCCTCTGCTCCACCTCCACAGAGCGCGCCGAGCCCCCTCTCTCTCTTTCCCCTTCTCCCTCTCTACTCTGCCACCGCCGCTGCCCCCCGCTCTCCCTCACCGCTCCTCCCCATGGACGAGGTCGCAGCAGCCGCCACACGACCGGCCGAGCCGAGGCCGCTGCTGACGGCGCCCCACGTCTTGCTCTCCACCTCGCCCCGCGCACCTGCTCTGCCCTCTTCCCCTCCTCCACTCTCTCTCTCTCTCTCTCTCTCTCTCTCTCTCTCTCTCCTCTGCCCTCTTCTTCCTCGCCTGGGTCGCCGCAGAAGCCGTCGCCCTGCGCCCTCCACTCCCTCCGTCTCTCATCTCTCCGTTGGTGTTTGCTCGGTTTCCTCCCCCTCTGTTTTCTCTCTCGCTCTTAAACATTTCGGGTCCCCGCGGGGAACAGGGACGGGGGCATGTATACCATCCCCGCCCCATCATACCCGATGGGGATGATTTTTCCCCCATTTTAATTTCCCATGGGGAGAAGATTTGTACCATCCCCGTCCCCTAAAAGGTGAATTCCCCGCGGGGAATTTTATCTCAAAATTCCACGAGCGAGCACATGTGAAACCGGCACTGATACAGTGATATGATTAAATTCAGTATGCCACTCTAATTGTACCAATTCAAAAACAAAAACGACCTGCAGGGGATAAAATAGGCTAAGAGGAAGATTTTTCCATGTAGATCGAGAAAACCCCTGAATGACCACGAACTGTGTTTTGGCGTGAGACAGATCCGACCCAAAAATTGTATTCAAGTAAATTTAAATTGATTTCAGCGTTCAGGCAAAAATAATAAGAGCACGAAGGAAGAGACGACGGAAATCAGGGACAGAATCCAGTAAGGCCACCGGCTGTGCACCGGCACGCTCAAAAATCCTGGATTAGTTTTGGCTTGCTGACAAAGAGGATATGTATGAAGACTCAAAAAATTGAGTCATTTAGTTCAAAATATGGGGCCTTGTGATTGCTAAAAAAACTGAGCAGTGAACACTAAGGACAGGTGAGAGCAGAAAAATCAAGCCCCCCCTTTTTGATCATGGACTTGTGATTCATGGCGAGCTTACCTCAGACCCGGAGAACTGCACAGAGATGTACAACACCATGGATCTTGTGCCCAACATCATAGCGCCGTCAGCAATGGACTACAGCCCCCTTTGGCACGACTCATCCAAAACGGCTTCACCGGTGAAGCCAAAGCCGGTGAAAGCCAGAAAAACTGGTTTTCCTCGACTTCTAGTTCATTTTAACCCCGGCTTACAAAACGGCTTCACGCTACAGTGCCTCGATTTACGCAAAATAGATGAAGCCGAAGCCGGCATAAGCCGTGCCAAAGAGGCCCTACATATGGCTATCAAGAATGACGCAACAATTCCTCACTCAGGCTGGGCACTTTTACACCACAAACCGCAAACCGAACCGAACCGAACCAAATTATCGGTTTATTTGGTTTTCAGTTACGGGTTTGGTTTTTGAGTTTCACAAATTCAGTGCTCAGCTTCGGCTTCGGTTTTCTATGCAAACCGAACCATAAAACCGAAATCAAACCTCAAGAAACGAAGCACCAGGAAGCACCGCAGCAGTCCGCGTCCGCCAATCCCCGTCTCCCCAACCAGTCCCTCCTCGGCTCCCCCTCCCACGCATCCCAGCCCAGAAGCTTGCCACGGATCCGGAGAATTGCACAGAGATGTACAACACCATGTATCTTGTGGATAAGATCATAGCGCCGGTTAGCAATGGACTGTAGAAATATAGGATCATTAGGAGCAGATCTAGCGGGTGGAAACTTCACTAATCATGGCATAAACAAGTAGATTATCCTAGTACATGAACTACAGAGAAAGAAGAGAGGGGAAGAGGGGTAGAAGGAGCTGACCGTCCTGCTTGGAGGCGGATGAAGCCATGGAGTCGGTGGCGAGGTCGACCCCGGGGTGAGTGGTTCCGGTGAAGGTGCTGAGGTGCTCGTCCCGGCAGCGTAGATCCAGTGGTGAGGGCGGTGGCGCTGGCAGTGGCGCTTCCCGTCGCTATCAGCGCTGCCCTCTCGATCGGACTAGGGTTAGGATGTCGCTGAGGAGTTGGCGGCTGCGGTGAACCTCGTACCCAAAGCCCCCCCCCTTCCTCTTTATAACGTTATGCCGACGGGGCTCACCAACCATGATTGAGTTGGACGCCTCGATCATCAGTGGCACGGATCAAATGCCCAAATTAACCGCTGGACCAACTTGGTGGAGATCAACCTAACATGGACTACATATGGTCATCAAGAATGATGCAGCGGCAGTTGAGATAGTCAGGGAATCCTTACATGCGGTGGCCAAGCTTACAAGAGGGACAGGTGAGTGCAGTAGGAAATTATGCCATGAGTTAACAACAAAATATGGCAGGACAGCTGAAAACATACTTTGGATCTTGGGCAACAGTGACGACCAAGACATGAGAATGCACGCTGTCGAGATTCTCTCGAGGCTAACTTTGGATGCACCAAGAATGCTTCAGTTTACTGTCGAGCTGCGACGCCTACTCCTTGATTCTCAGGACAACCCACTGAGGACTGAGGCAGGGAAAGCACTGATCGCCCGTGGAGACGAATTTCCAGACATTCAGCAGCTGGTCACAATCATGAGTGCTGATGCCGCATACAGTAAGGAGTACAGGACGGTGGCTGCAGAAATGTTGGCACAGATTTGTGCCAGGTCCAGAGAAGGTCAGGATAGGAATCGCCTCAGCGCAGTGGCCAACTCATTGTACACAATATATATTTCTACAGAGTATATTTATTGCACTGTATAAATACGAACCAAGGTGCAAGCTACTATATATGCAAAGATTCATTCATGTTCACCTTTACTGTTGCAGGTACTTGAAGCGATAGTGACTGAAACTACCCAGCTTGACATGAGTAGCAGCAAGCTTCTCGTGTCGTCCTTAGGCCTCGCAGTGCAGATACGCGAGAAGCTTGCGACAGCAGAGGCTTTTGCTTATGCGCTCACAGGGCTTCCATTAATGGGGAACAATATTTTTGCAGAGAAGCTGAAGAGGATCATTGAGATAACAAACGACTGTAAGAGCAAGGATGAAGTCTGCGTGGCGATCATGAAGTCCGCGACTAAGCTGGTTACGTGGATGACGGAAATCGACACCGCCATCAGCCCCGGTTATTACATGGAGTACTGCCGTGGAGGCCATGGTTGACCTCGAAAGGTATGTGCTTATGACTGGCGGTGCTGATGAGAATGAAGGTTATGTGACGCTTGAGGCGCTTGTGGAAACAGCTAGGAACACCTTGGTTCCGCAGCAGCAGCAGAGTTTAGCATACAAACCAAAGCTATGGGTGCCAGCGCGGAAGTTCAACTCTTGTCCATGTACTCATGTCGTTGTTCTGCTCCCTTGTGTGTTTTTCTTGAGATCAATGTATTGAATAACTTATCAACAAACATTGTGGTTTTCTTTTCTTACGATGAAAATTTGGCAGAGTCCAGAGTCTGTAATAATTGTGGTTAATTTGATTTATGTTCTTACTTCTTAGAGAGGACTCAAGCCAAGCCAGCCAGAGCTATTTCTATTATGTAAACATAATCAGCCTGTTCGCTTGCTCGTAAACGATCGTAAATTTCCAGCCGAAAATAGTATTTTTCTCTCATATCAAACCAGTCAGCAGTGAATAAACCTTAGTGAAAGAAATCTGTTACTTGTGCTACAGAGTACAGTGCACGGTGACCTTAAAAGCAGCTGCATTGTATTGTAGATGAGGTTCGAAACGTCAATCCATTGCCACCCGCAAAATATATCGATTCCTAGAATCCGTGTCAAGTTTAACTAGCTTTATAGAAAATATTAACAACATCTATAATATAAAATGAATATGTATTCTATGGTAAATGCAATGATATTAATTTGATACAATAAATCTTTTTTTCTAAAAATTTGGTCAAAGTTTAAAAAGTTTGACTTAAGATAACTTCAGAAATCTATTTATTCAAATGCGGAGGGGGGTAAATAGCATTCTATTTATTTATCAATTGAAGCTTCGTTGTCTGCTTTCTCCAAATTATGGCCTGTTTAGATTCAAAAAAATTTGCGCAGTGTCCGTCACATCGAATCTTGCGGCACATGCATAGAGTACTAAATGTAGACGAAAAAAAAAATTAATTACACAGTTGGGTGAGAAATCGCGAGACGAAACTTTTGAACCTAATTAGTCCATAATTAGACACTAATTATCAAATACAAACAAAATACTACAGTAAACCAAAATCCAAAAACTTTTGGATCTAAACGGGGCCTTAGCATCGGTAGCTGCAGTGCAGAAAACGATGCTCCAAACATTGATGGAGAAAAAACCAAGGATCGTTCCATTTCCAGCGCAGTACTCCGGGTTAGGCTTCAAAATCGAACGCCTGTCTGGCTTTTGGCCCAAGCCCAACAAATAAGATACGGCCCAGTGCACAGTGCAACCCAACAACAGAGCAAAGCGTGCATCTCCAGGAGACTACCGGCGTATTCGGCTGGCTGGCTGGACTTTTTTTCTAGCCGGAGCACTGTTTTTTCCTCGTCAAATTGCATTATGAACAGTTTTTTTCAGCTGCTACAGTATAAATTTAATGCCAGCCGAGCACTTACATTTTTTATGCTTCTTGATCCACCACGTACGGCACGGAAAAAAAATTCTATGCGGCGGTACCGCACGGAGTCACAGCATGCGACACCGCCTTATCGTCGTCCACCATCGATGAATGTTTTATTTTAAAACTGTGGTTATTATATTATTATACTGCTAAAAAATACCAGTGTTAAAAATGGATGCATGCGTGTCCCATGGTTTTTTTTATAATGTAAAATATCCGGTTGCCACCCCACCATGCATCACGCAATGATTTGATCATTAAATTTAAGAATGAGTAACCACTCGAAAGGTCGATCATGCTTGTTCATATGGTGTCAGAAATTAATCTCAGCAACAAATTACAGTTACAGCAAACACAAACGGTAAACCCTTCACGGTTCACGCAACTGGTCACGCAATGTTAAGTAGCAGTAATATATCGGTCTGAAGTCACATGCGAGCAGGACGAGCAACCATTCAGATTCAGCCAGGGGACGATGAAATGCTACTCCTGTCCATGTCACCTCATCCGTTTCAACAACCTGAATGCGACTGGCCATTACGCCAATCAAATCCTAGAATTCTTTTTCAGTTTGGCTGCCTCGCGTCCGTCCATCGGTCCATGACCATGCACGGATGAATTTAATTTACGTGTACCGCCCATGAAAACGATGGCCTCCCTTCAATTTGGCCAGGGACTGATGATCAATCCCGCTCCTCGCCGTCGTCTTCGTCCAGCGAGCTCGACCGCCTCCGCCAGCTCAGCACGCGCCCCATGCGCGGCAGCCTGATCACGGAGTTGGCCCGCGCCACCCTCTCCAGCGCCCTCCACACCGCCGTCCCCTCCTCCGACGACGCCTCGCCGCCGCCGCCGTTACTCAGAGCCCTGCGGAAACTGCTGCCCGTGAACGGCACGGCCGGCGGCTTCACGTCCCCTCCTGTGCCTGGGACTCTGAGGTTCTCGTCAGGACCAGGAGAGGCCCGCCGGTTCAGGTAGAGGCACACGACGGCGCAGTCGTCCACCATGGACGTCGGGTACTTGCACCGCCATGCTCGTACCGCCCGGTCGATCAGCTGCCTCGCCGCCTTGGATGGGTCGCTGGCAGATGACACCAGCTTGACCACCTCCTTGTTCGACAACACGTCCCAAATCTGCAACAGGTTTCGGCAGCAAAAGATATTCAGACTTCTCATGCTACCGAAAAACCATATCATCTGAGAATTTTGTCTATTTTGATTTGAAAACAAATCATTATCAGCTACAACTATCATTTTTTAGATAAAGGAATTTTATTCCGGCCTCTGCAAGAGTTTTGCACTCAACCATTCATTATTACATCGTTTTAGCCACCGGCTGATGTAGAAAAGCTCACAAAAAGCGTCAAAAGTATGGGAGACTGTTTAAATAAATTAAGCTCTAAGCCTATTAGAAAGCAACCATCCATTGGCAATAATAAATAGATGACAGCAATATGCATGTATGGTTTTGGTTAACAGTTTCTTTTGTGGGTCTTATCTGAAAGGGATTTATGCTATATTCTGTACCCAGATCATTCGGAATAGAACTGCATGCAAGCCTTTCTGATTAAAGAAACTTGGACTGAAAGTGACAGGAATCTGAAACTGCCAATCAAATAAATGATCACATTTTTTTATTACCCCGTCAGTAGCAAGCACCAGGAACTCATCTTTCTCAGACAGTTTCCTGCAGTAGACTTCAGGTGTGCAGATAAGGCCATGGTTCTTCAGGCAGAAGTCCCCGAATGCCCTTGCCATGGCAAGGCCGGGCGCATCCTGATCCGGCAGCCACATCCTAGGCACGTCTGGCTCGTCGTCCATGGCAAACACTCTTCCGTTGCAGTTCAGAATCCTTGCGAGCTCGCCTGTTGCATGCACACAGGAATGCAAAATGCAGTCAAGATGTGTATTTATTCGTGCATGCGCCGATAACCATGAACTGATAAGTTTTGATACTCACTTGGAAGATCTGGTTTCAAGTCAGTGGTCAGCTGGACTGGGATCAGACGGTCCTTGCTGTCCCGGGTGCAAAGGACAGCGCGTGAATCTCCCAAATTGGCAACGATCAAGTGATTACCCTGTGCATACGAAGGAAAATTGGGCAACATAATAAGTGATATGTATGCTTTACATATGTTGAAGTAACCTTTAAGGTGTAGTTTTCAGAATTTGTATCTACAACAACTGAAACATGATTTCCAATACAGCTAGTAGTTACAGTACAAGTAAAACACTGAGCCACTATCTGACTTGCCAAGGAATCCAAATCACCGAAACAAGATTTCCAGTTCAGCTAGTAGTTACAGTTCAGAATTAGTACCTGTCTAACAGCGGCGACTGCAGTTGTGCCGCTACAAATGCAGTCAATTTCTGAATGTTGCCTAAGCTCCTCATCCACCTGCTCAAATGTCTTCACGAATATGTTCTTCCAAGTGGACAACAGCTGGCTCTCATCGCTCGTATCATCACTGGACGAGCTGCTATCTGACTTGTCAAAGGAATCCAAATCCGTGTTGCTTGAGGGATCTTCTTCAGTTCTGAGCTTCAAACTATTGCTTGAGTCATCTTCTTCAGGTTTGAGCTTCAAATTACTGCTTGATTCATCTTCTTCAGGTTTGAGCTTCAAATTACTGCTTGAATCATCTTCTTCAGGTTTGAGCTTCGAATTACTGTTTGAATCATCTTCTTGAGGTTTAAGCCTCAAAGTATCGCTTGATGAATCTTCATCTCCAGTTTTCGGTTTCAAAGAAGAGGCTAGTTTCACTGGAAGGGTGTCGCGGACATGGCGAGCGACTTCCCGGCCAAGAGGGCCATGGCCGTCAAACACTCCGCAGAAGATGTGGCCTTTGTGGCCAGCAAAGTCCTAAGCATCTTGACACGATTGCCACACATCAAGATCAAGCAAATCGCGTGTGTGAATGAGGGAAAAAAAACGATGTACTTGCATTGGAGATGCTAATAATAAGGTACAAAGATATGGATGTGCCAACATAGTTTTAAATGTTGCGGCCCAGGCAGGTTCATGTACAATGCAAGCTCTCAGGACACTGGTGGTGTGGCCAATAAGGATGGGGAAGTACATAATTTCAGGTTGCTAGTTTTTTCTTTCTACTAACATCTCAGGTTGAACGGATTCAATTCTTAGCAGCTATAGTAGATAGATCCAGTGCACTTTGCTCAAACTAAGTTGGTAAATACAACTCGCATTGCAAGTTGCAATAACATCGTGGACAGCTTGCATATTGCGAAAACACACACACAATATCTCAGATATTTTCATTTTTCTTAATTGCTATCGTTCTTCCTGGTTTGACAAAATTAACTGTGCAAGGAGCTGTCAAGTGCCACGAACGAACTAGTAGGCAGAGGCGCTGCAACCAATCCAAGGTGAAAGCAGAGAAGAGACAGAGTGGAGGGAGGGTGAGGTCATGCACCTGGGAGACGGTCATGGCGTCCTGGTTGGCGCCCTTCCATCCCTGCTTGGTGTGCACGGAGACGCCGGCGCTGGCCCACAGGTGGCTGTGGAACAGGTCGTCGTGCATCCATGGGAAGCCCAAGCCCTCGTCGTCGTCCAGCTCCCCTGCTGCCGCCTTGCTGCAGCAGATCCCCATTGCTGCTTATGCTTTGCTTGCTTGCGCCGCGTGAGCTCCGTCCTGCCCTGCCCACCCCTCTCCTCTCCTCTTCTTGGATTGCCAAGCAGGAGAAGGAGCAGGAGGAGCACTGGAGCAGGAGGAGCAGGAACGGTGGGTTAAATTTATGTCCCTAGGTTCATTGGTTGGTTCGTAGGTGTGGTGAGGGGCATTAATGACAGGATCGCTAGCGGTAGGGTAGGGCAGCGTATGACGTTTCTGTATACAGGAATCCGTCACGCATGTGAAGAACTGAAGCTTCAGCCTGTTCCAGCTTCAGCCTTCAGGAGAAGGAAAAGGGCTCGAGCAATGCAGCAGCAGGTGGCAGCAGCTGCGCTCTGCCCTGGACGCAACGGCGAGCCATGGCGGAGGGGCGACGCAACCCGGCAGCAGCAGATGGAGATGCCATGCATTTTTTACTCATCAAGGGACAAGGGGTGAAGCAAGGGATCACGGACGGGAGCATCGGCCAGCTGCCCGTGGTTGGCAACGGCAAAGGCGGCGCCAACGTGATGCCTGCGCCGGCCCATGTCGCCTCGCTCTCGCTCCTGCCAGCGGCTTCTTCAATGCTACTAGCTAGCTGCCCGTGGCCATGGTCACCTGCCTCAACGCTAGCTGCCTCGCTCTCTTCAATGGTCCCGTCCGATGCCCGTCCAACACTGACTCACATCGGACTTGACCAAACTCCAGCACCCTCAAACTTTAAGCGTCAATCATCTCCGTCTACTATCGTCTCCTCGTTTGTTTGAGAGAGGATACGATACCTGCACCAGATCGTGATATGGCGTATGCAACTGGCAAGCCACTTCATTCAAGCACTATAAACAGGCAGATATCACCATTATCCTTCATTCTGTTCTTGCATCCCAAACAGGACAGATGCAATGCAAGCCACTTCATTCCAGCTAGTCACAAACATAAATGCAACAGCCAATAAACACATACCATCCTGTTCGCTGATGCTGAAATTTGGCTTATGCTAATGCTGAAATGTTGTGAGAGGAAAACAGTTTCATGGCTGAAAAGTAGTTCTGAATAAACTCAAACGAACAGGGATATCCCATATCTATGGCACTAAATTCTAAAATCCATTTTCATATCAACCAAAACCATCTCTTCCATGTTAATATCTATACAGCAACTTCCTGACTGCTCCACAGAAATGTAGTAATGTACTCCCCAAGCATGTTCACCTCACCAAACAAAGGTGGGGTTGGGACTGAAACTGGGACTGGATCTACTCATCTAGACATCTAGTATACAACATCAAGATATACACCTCAGCAGTACCGCACCGATTATAGTACAAAATTTTGAGCTCGTTCTTCAGACATCACTTCTGGATGCCAGTCAACAAACCCATCCATCCACAAGATGCATACCCTGCCTACGGCGATTGCTACACTTGAGGTCTTCTCACCGTACAAGCACATCCTGTGACTGTTGCTTCCATACATCACAAGGTTCCACCTCAAACTGCACAAGGCCACACCTGTTATTAGACACTTTTGACTTTTGCAGGGTTGTAATTCTAGTAAGAACAAATCCACTCAACAGTCAACAGATATAAGACAACTGTGCTATGCTCTTAGGCATTTTTTTTAAACACCATCCATAAGATCATGATTTGTGCGTTTTGAAGCATAGACAAAATATTGAAAGTTAAAAAACAAATCATTGCACAGCACAAACATACTTAATAGAACCACAACTGTTCTGAAGCAAATAGTATGTAGTGTTTTCAAGTAGCAAATCAGGCAAGACACCTAAATGAGTTGGTGAGCACAAGGGTTTAACGCTGTGTAAAGCAACCAGGGGAGTAGTAGAATACCTTGAACGGTTTATCGATCCACTGGAAAACACAGCCACGTGCCTCAACATTTTTTATCATATGAGCAGGCATCATGGATTTGAATGCTTCATGAAGCTTCACTTTTGTCAAACAACCACAAACCATAAGAGTAGCCGTCAAGCCATTGGGCGTTATACCCACTAAATGGACGATGGTCATGTTCTGCAAACCAGATATGCTAGAAAGGGAAAGAAGCCCAATATCGGTGACTGAACAATACGACAAGTTTATCTGCGATGAGACGTAGATGGTATTAGTACAACAATTGTGGAACATACTGGTACCATCAGATTCCAGTTACAGTTCAGGATAAAAGGATAATACCTGACGGAGGCTATGAGAGAACTGGGAAAGGTAAAGCATTCCAACATCATTGATCTCGAAGCATTTCTTAATATCAAGCTTGGAAAGTAGCCTGCACCCCATTGCTATTTCTGAGAGCCCAATGGATGAAACCCTGGGGCAGCCACGAATCTCCAGAGTATTCAGCTTTGCGCATTTTGAGAGTGAAATCAGTGAACGATCTGTTATTTCTGTACAGTAGGATAGATTGATAGACTCTAGCATCGGACAACCCTGCGCAATTTGAATAATTCCATCATCGCTAAGGCCTCCACACCTGAAACAGAAAATATAAGTTAGTTTACTGACAAAGAACCAAACAAGGAAAACCACAAGGCATTTCTAATAATGACCTGTACAGATCAATGTCACGGAGTTTTGGGCAAGACCTTCCAATGTGAGTAAGACCTTCATCGCTTATCTTCAAGCAAATGCCAATTTTTAGACCCAAAAGTTCGCTGCATCTAGCAAGAGCTTTCAATCCTGCACAAAAACAAAAACATTCAGTCAACTCTATGTCCCATTTGGCAAAGGATAATTCAGTACCCATTTCAGTATTAAGTACCTTCGTCATCCAAATCACTGTCAGTAAGGTCCAACTCTTCCAAGTGAGAACAGTGCTTCCCGATCAGTTGGAGTGCTCCACTGGAAACACAGCTACAAGACTCCATCCTCAGAGAGATGAGGGAAGTGCATGAACTAGTTAGGGCCGCGAGTGAAACATCAGTGATATTGCGACAACAAGTAATGTCCAGCTTCAGCAGGTTCTTTAGCCTTGACACGGCAAAAGACAGTTCTGTATCCGTCACTCCAAAGCACTTGCTCAAGCTTAACTCCCTTAAAGAAACACAAGAGGTTCCAATAGCTTTTAGTCCATCAGTCATGAATTTGCAGCCTTCCAGCTTCAGGGTCCGCAGTTTAGGAATCTTTTGTAAGCTTCTCACCATAGAAGGAGTAACCTGATACACGAAGAATGTAAATTAAGCTGTGAGGGCTCAAGTTACGCCCAGGTGATACAATAATACGAGTAGATGATTAGCTACTTACAGGACAGCAGTATGAAAGATCCAGTTCCAATAGATTGGGAAACGACTTCAGCATGGATGAAACTCCCACGTCAGTGATATTCTGACACTGAGACATATCAAGCGCCTGCAATGGTGCAAGCATGTGAGTTCAGTAATAAGCAGAGCTTTGTGCTACTATGAACACTGTTTTTTTTTTAATTATCAAAAATACATATTTTAGTACCAGTGACTAGTTCAGACAAGGCATCTGCAGAGTTCAGAACCTAACAGTGTAAGATCAAGCGAAATAATACCACTATAGTGTTTGAAACGAAGCTGATGTGTGATTGCTAGTAACAAGCAAGTCAATAAAAATGGCAAATTACCATGAGCACCTCACCTGTAGTGATTTACTGCATTCCTTGTCAAGACTACCAAGAGCATCATCATCAATTCCAATACACCCCACCAGTGTCAACTGTTGAAGATTGGGTAGCTTCATGATGGCAGGAAAACTATCCTTTGTGATCTGCAACACAAGATACGTTTCCATTTTATTATTACTCCAGCACAATATGATAAGTGGGCCGGTAGGCACTAGGCACAAAGCTGCAAGAGAAACTAGTCGGCTACTAGTACCGCTCTGCTGATCCATTGTTGCAAAGATGATTTACCATGTCTATAGATAAGAACGCCTGCAGATCGAGAATACTATACTACCTATACACTGAAGTGGTCCAATGCCCTAAGCACTAACTGAATAAATTAGATTGAGCAAATGACGTACTAGTAACTGATGAAGGTAGATTTCTAGCAAGGGAAATAACTGAAACCCATTTCTCTCCGGTGAATTAAAGAAATCAAATCAAGAAACGTACAAGACGGAAACAAAAGACAGAATCATCCGTCGCCTTTTGTCAAGAAACAAACAGAGAAACTCTCAGCGCTCACCATGGTGTAGGAGAGATCCAGTCTGGTGAGCTTCCGGCACTTGAGGGCCAGGAGCTGGATCCCCAGATCCGAGACCCCAAGGCACCACTTGAGCGAGAGCTCCCTCAGCTCCGCGCACCCGACGGCGACGCACCCGACGCCCATGTCGGTGAGCGGCTTCCACCTTGCCAGCGAGAGCCTCCGTAGGCCCTTCGCCCGCGCGACCTCGGCCGCGGCGGCGTCCCCGAGGTCGACCCCGTTGGAGAGGTCGAGGTCGGCGAGGCCCGGGCACGACGGGGCGAGCGCGGCCACGCCCGCGGCGCCGAACCCGCGGGAGCGGGAGAGGTCGACGGTGCGGAGCGCGGACGGGCAGGAGGAGGAGGGTCCGGAGACGAGGGCGGAAGCGAGGGCGGCGTCGGGGACGCGCGCGCAGAGGGAGAGATCGAGGCGGGTGGCACACGGGTACCGCGCCAGCGCGGCGGGCAGGAGGTCCGCGCGGAGCGGGCGGAGCGTCCGGCGATGCCGGGACTCCGCGGCGTGGCAGGCGCGGGAGGCCAAAGCGAAGGACTTGAGCGCCCGCGGGTCGGCCTGGGCCACGCGGTCCAGGACCAGGAAGAGCAGCTCGTCGGCTAGCGTGTCGAGCGGCGGCGCGGCGTCGGGGGCGGGGGATGGGGAGAAGGAGAGGGAGAGGGAGAGGGCGAGGCGGCGGCGCTTGGGGTGCCGGTGCTGCTGCTGGTGGGATGCCGCCGCGGCCATGGGGAAGGAGGGAGGGGTGGGATGGTCTTGGTGGCTTCTTGACACGGACGGCGGACGGCGGCGGCGGTCTCGGTGGCTTCTTGATCCAGCGGTGG